GGGCGGGGTCAGGAGGAGGAGGAGCCCGGTGGTGGTGGGTGTGTTCGGGCCACGCCCCCCTCGCCCGGAGCCCCGCCCCCCCGCCGCACCTGCAACCCCCGCAGCAGCTCCGCCACGCTCTCGGCGCAGCTCACGTCCACCCGGGCGGCCCGGTGGTCCCCCGGCGGCATCGCCCGCAGCGTCTCGCCCGCCGCCGCCTCGTCCACGTCCGCCGCCGCCACCGTGGCGCCTTCGCGGGCCAGGCGGAGGCTCACCGCCCGCCCGATCCCGCTGCCGGCCCCTGAAGAGACGGCAGGGAGGGAGACCCGTCAGGCCCGGCCCGGGACTTTCTCCCCTCCCCACTCCCCCCACCCCGCCCCCCCCCCCCCCCCCCCCCCCCGCACCGGTGACCAGCGCCAGCACCCCGCGGAGCCTCAGGTGCGCCGCCATGGCCGGAAGCCTCTTCCCGGAAGTGGGCGGCGATCTAGGCGGCGCTCTCGGTCTTCCAGAGGGAGCGGAGGGACGCGCAGGCGCAGAGCGAGCAAACTTCTCCCGTCCCGAGATTTCTCGCCTTTCTTTGGTGCCAATCCCGCGCCTAGCGCTGGGAAGGGGGGGGAGGAGAGGGAAGAACACCTGGCGCAGCTGCTTGTAGCCCCCCCCCGGGGCACACACACCCCCCCTTTCCAGGCTAGGCCTTGCCGAGAGGGCACCTATGGTCACAGGGGCCTCCAAACTGGGCCCCTTGAAGACTGGGGGGGGGGGGGGACTTCAACTCCCAGAATTCCTCCTGGCCTTGGAGACTAGCTCTGCTGGCTGAGGCATTCTGGGAATTGAAGTCCCCCCAGTCTTAAAGGGGCCACAGTTGGAGACCCCTGATATAGATCAAACAAGCCAATCAATCTAATCTATTACTACCAACAGGCCTGTCTTCAGAACTCTTCAGTGCACTCAGCACATGCTCAACGGACTTTTTCTTCCCCTCCCAATCTGCTCCTGGGTTTGGAGATTAGCTTTGCTGGCTGAGGGGATTCTGGGAGTTGAAGTCCGCCAGTCTTAAAGGGGCCCATTTTGGAGACCCCAAAGTCCAGCCCTACTGTCCATAACCATGGTGGGCTTGGGGCCCAGAGGGAGGGACGGGAGAAGCTGTGCAGGACTGACTCCCAGCCTGGCTGGGTTGACCGGCAGCCCTCGAATTCACGGGAATTGAACCCCAAACTTCCCGTTAACGGACACACCAAGTATTTGCCCTGTTTTCTGACCTTCCCCGCCACGGTTACTAAGCTGCAATGGATTAAAAAAAAAAAGTTAGCAACCTGGTTGTTAAGTGAATCTGGCTTCCCCCAAGGCGGAAGAAGGGACACACACAGACAGCCGTAAACCCGCCAAGCACCTGCATTTCAACCA